TGTCAATAGGTTATCACTGCAGTATATCTGACTAAGCTGTTGGAATACAGAAAACTATAAAAGAATAGATTGAAAAAAAGAAGAGGAAAATATCTAAAAATGTCTAAATAGACAACAAGAAAATGAAAAGATAAAAATTGAAAAAAAAAATTTCCAGCTTCCTTCAAAAACCTGTTTCTCAAGACCTCTTCTTAATAAGAAATACTCAATTGGAATATTCTTTCTTTTTCTGACTATCTAAGGAACTTATCTATTCTTAATTTTGATTTTCTTTTCATATATTATCTAAGAAGACTTATCACTTAGTAGGAGTCTTTACTTCCAGAACATCTTTGATTTCAATCTTCTTTAGACAATAATTTTTATCTACTTGTAATAGAAAGATAACTTATAATAGATCCCAGGTTTTTATGTAACCTAGTAGGAACTGGTTTTAGTATAATACCTTTCTGTAGCCATACCTTGTTAAAAGAATTTATTGATATATATCTTCTATTATCCAAAAGGCCAGATTCTCAATAATCCTTTTACCTTGTAATGGTGAGAGAATCTTAAAAGTGATAGAAATCCTTGTCAATTGTAATATGATCAAATTTATATTTGATTGGTATATCCAAGTGGAATTACTTTTAAAAGGACAATTCCCAAAGAAAGAATTAAAGAAATAGTTTATAATAATTAAAGAAGTATTTAAAAATAAATTTACAAAGAATCTTTTAAATAGTATTATATAGTGTTTCACAAGAAATATGGTTTGCTCAGAACTCAAGTTTATTAATAAATCAAGAAGACTAGGACAATTCCTTTAGTTCTAAAATCAAGAGAAGATATTTAATCCTTAGAAGAAAAGTAAAGTTATTTTTAAACTTCCAAAGTCAAATAAAGTTATATCCAAATTTTCAAAGTTAAGTTATATTCAAACTTATCCTACTTTTGAGTGAATTATAACTGCTTATATACTTGTAAAATGGGCTATTTGGGTCTCCTAGGTCTCCTGGGCTACCTGATCTATGATAAATTATGTCACATGCTATATTTGATAAAGTGATTTATACTAATTAAGTACCAATAAGAATATCAAAGAATATTAAAGAAATAATTATAAATAAATAAATAAAAATAAAAATAGAATGAAGATTATAACTAAAAATAACTATCCAATGGTATTAGAGATTATTTTTATCACATTTTCCTTTTCTTAAAAGGTGAAGTCCTCTGAGTCAAGTTTTCTCATATAGGAAATAAAATTATTTTGATAAATTTCATTAGTTATCCCAAATAGATAGTTCATGGACAAGAACTTTATTTGATAAATTTGATTTGAATTGCCTTGAAAAATTTCATAGGTTTACCTAGCTATATGATAATAGTTATGAGAATTTTGAAGTGAATTTTTCTAAAGGTATTGTTGTTATAATTGTTTGAAGTTCTAGATGGTATTCAATAGTTATTCCAAATAGTATAAATTGATTAGAATAATTATGTGATCAGATTATTGCATATGTTGCTTGATTTTCAAAAAAGTATTTTTGATATTATTTTTTACTAGAATGATGGGATTATATGGGGTTCATATCAGTTTAGAGTTTTATCCAAAATGAATAATATGTTTATTTTAAGTAAGTCCAGTTTCCTTGTAGCTGATTGTTAGTGGTTAAGTTTGAACATTTTTTATAGAAATTTTCCCATGTAGATATTTCTTAAATATATTTTAAAGTTGTATCATTAATGATCAATCCATCTCTATTTAGTCTTATATGATGACTTGTTTAACTAATTATTGGTTCATATTCAATATTAAATAGATAGGCTTGATAAATAGTTCATTACTAATTCTTATATTTCATATCTCAATTTCCTTGAAAATACCTTATATTAATAGGCTTGAGCATGTTATTGAACATTCTAATCCAGTAATCAATTGCATCATATTAATGCAAAAGAAAATGAAATTCCTTGATTAGGCTTTGCTTCATTATCATTGTTCAGAATATGAATAAGAATTGATCTCCCTTTAGAAAAGTATCCCCTCCAATTGTGTATGTTCGATTTCTAAAAAACATTTATAATATTGAAAGATGAGTGATGGGTAGGCAAACAGATCTAATGCCCATCTCTCATTAAGTTCCTCAAGTAGTAAAAAAGCTTTCTTGAACAAAAGATAAGATCTTTAAGCTTCTATTCTGATCAGACAAAGTTCTTGAAAAGATTTCTTTATCCTAGTCAAGCAAGCTCTTCCATAATATAGAACTGGCTTTATTAGCAATAAGCAAATTCATATATTAGCAGAAGGATAAGTTTCTCAAATGTTCTTCTTGAAGTCACTTTCAGAAATAGTTAAGTTTCTCAAATGTCATAAAGCTTAGAGGATATCCCAATCAGGCAAACCCCTTTTGAGAGGAAACTGTGAAATAGAACAAGAATCTTTTGAAGCACTTTGAATTATATTTTTCTTTTTTCTTTTTTCCAGTACCATACTTTAACAATTTATAGTTTTTCAAGATAATCAACAATAACAAACTGTTGATAATGACTGGTTAACTTAGAAACACTATGCCAAGCTACTAGTAAAGTGTAATATTGTCTCCTAAATCTAACTTAGAGTATCTAGTTTAGATTTAGTTTTGTTTAGTCTGAACTAGTTTAATATACTCCTTATATTTTTTAAATAATGTAGACCTTTAACTAATAATGTACAATAACGAATTAATTGCTTTGTAAAAAGTCTGTAAAATATTTTAGTATTTCTCAATATCTCAATAAAGACATATCAAAGCAGTATAATTGCAGGTTAAAAAAAATATATATATATATATATACAGTATTAATAAATAAATAAAATATAATCTGGAGTAAGAACCTTTTGGAGGGCTTTGATTTGCATTTCTCCTTCCCCTTTTTCCAGTGCCAACTTTAGCAATTCATCGTTTTTCGGGATAATCTACAGTGACAAACTGTTGGCAATAATTCTAGTAGACTTAAAGACACTATTGCCAAGCTACTAGGAGAGTGAAATATTGTCCCCTAAATCTGACTTAGAGTACCTAGTTTAGACTTAGTTTTGTTTAGTTCAAACTAGCTTAGTGGACTCCTCATATTTTTTAAGTAGTGTAGTCCTTTAACTAATAATGTATAATGATGAGTTAGTCGCTATGTGAAAGTCTGTAAATTATTTAGGTATTTTTCAATATCTTAATAAAGACATGCCATTGCGACATGATTGCGGGTTAAAAAAAAAAAAAAAAAATTAATTTGTTAAATAAAATCTGTAGATCAATAACACAGTGGTAATATTCTTAGATCATAATTATAAGATTTGTAGTTCAATATTACTTAAGGATTAAAATCAAAAAATTATATTCTGATTAGGTTTTATTGATTATTCTATGAAAGTCATACCCAATCATTCAGAACATGATTCAATTATATTAGGCTATAAGAAGATGGGACTTTTGGCTTTCTATCGATCAAGTGCTAAAATTTATGGTTATATTACTGGAAGGATTATATGAAAAAAGGTTTCTAATTTAGCCTACTATAGACATTTCAAGATCTTCTGTCTTGGCAATCTCTAGGACCCCCACTTTTCTAGCTTAGAATATTTTAATCTGATGCTTCACTTAATTGAAAATCAATTAATAAGAACTAATTTGATTCTACAGGTAGTGATAAAGAAAGTAATGTGCCGATTTCTGAAATCTGAGTAAATAATATTTGGAAATATTGAAGAATATAAAATATCTTGTTGGATATATATGAAAAAAACTAACTTAGTGAAACAATAACAAATACAAATTAACAAACTCAATACTAACTAGCCTAACCATACCATTGATATCTGTATATTAATTATCTAACCCCTAATTAGGTCTGTCCACTCAAGAAGTGATAACTGGTTTAACTAGAACAAATTATAATAAATTATCATTAATCATATATATATAGAAATATATAGTTTGTAAGAGATGATTGATGTCATGCTAAGGATTTAGTTATCCATCAAATGTTAAGGTAATTCTTAATAAAGCTCACATCTAATACCAATTGTGGTTTAAAAAAAAAAAAATAAATAAATTTAATTTGTTAAATCTTACAAAATAAATAAATTAATTATTTTAAAATTTTTGATTTTTATATATATTTATTAAATTTTATATTTCTTTCTTTCTTTTTTTTTTCCTAAATTTTATTACTTACTACTCTTTTAAGATGTAAAGTTTAACAAGATAAGTGACAATAGCCATCCATGAAGTTCTTTCTAAATTATTTTTATTAATTCTTCAAATACAATATATCGGTTTGTACAATCCTTAAATATGCAAAATATTATATAGTAAATGCCTAGGCAAATTCCTTAGTTTTAATTCATTCATAACGGGCTTCGATTTCGATGGGTAAATTAAAGATTCATTTTTCGCTGTTGGATTGTCGCGCCATTCAATGCATTACTATATTTATTTTTTTTTATATACATGCCGATATACTTTGAAGTTTTTTGCAATGACTATTACCAAATTGAAATTATATACATTGGGCGCGCATAATTTGCGCCACAGATTATTCAAGTAAAGAAAAACTCAGGTAACAGGAATAATGTACTGTATATATAAAATAAGAATATTAAGGATTACCAAGTCTACCATTAATTTTCAACGTTCCCGCACGAAGCAAAATTATAATAATAATTAGACCTAATATTCACAAATCGTCTTCACTTTCCTCTGTTATATCACCTCTGCTCTTTTCAACCCTTCTCTTTTGTTCAATAATTTCTAAAAGTTCATCGCAACTCGTCAACTCCGAATCGGGATCGCCCAACACTTCCAAATCCTCAAAGAATTCATGTTCCAAGGATTCTTTAATCTTTTCATTATGGGAAGGAGTAGGAATAAACAGAGAGGTTTGGACTTTAACGAGAGCAGACGAACTATCAAAATATCTTGGACCATTTGAAACATAAGTATCCTCATTATCAACCATCTTCCCTTTGCCTTTGTCGATAACGGGAACGGTCAAATTTCTCATAGCCCCTTCTGTTTCACGAATCTTCTTTGCTCTCACTGAATATTGAGATGTAGATTTTGACCTTTTATTTGATTTGTTTTTGTGTTGGTCTCGGTATATTTCTTTGCGTTTAACGCCCTTTTTTTTGGTGCCAGAAATTGATTTGGCAACAGACGGTTGTCTAATTTGTTTTTGAAGCGTTTCCTTGCGTTTGACACTTTTTTTGGCAGCATTTGAGTTTAGATTGACCACGGATGGCTGTTCAATTTGCTTTTTAGTACTTTTCTTAGTGATATTTGATATTGGTTCGGGCCCAGATGTCTCTTTAGTTTGTCGACGAGTGACAGGAGCTGAATACCACATTTCGTCCAATGTAAATCTGTGATTATTATTCAGAGTGTTATCAATACTCGAGGCAACATTATTGCTTGTGTTAAGCGAGTTGGATTCATCGATATATACGTTGATGTCAATTTCGTTCTTATTTACGACAGTTTCCTTGTAATTTGTAGACGAGGATGAATAATTATTTACATTATCTATTTCGTCGCCATTCTCTATTACAAACAAATTTCTAGGCTCAATATCATTCTCATCGATTATTTTATCAACGGGCCTCCTTATTGACTCGTTTTGGGAAGTGTCGTAACTATAATGTTTCTTGGACTTTCTGGGGACGACAGGTCCTTTTTTAGAGTCTGTTTTCGTCTTTCCTGATCTGGGCCTAAGTACAGGCGGAGTATACTCGGTGAAGACGCCTTGATTGTCGTAGCTAGGCTTTTCAACAAAAGTCTCATCGTTATCAATAATCTCTTCGCTGTTAAGTAGTGATGCGACCGAAGTTTTTCCATGACTCTGTATTGGATTTGTACTTAATTGATCTTCAGGCTTGATGTTAATGCAACTATTATCAATCATCGGATTCCTCGTAGTGTTGACAGCGGTGAATACTATACTAGGTTCTATGGGGGAAGGAATAGAATCCATGCGAGCAATAGTATCTATATTGTCCATCGAAAATCTTCCAAATCCTCCACTTGTATACGAACCATCCTCACGAAAGGCGGACGAGGGTATTGGAATATGAGAATTATCGCCAACTGATACTGGAGGAATTTCCGGGGGAGGGACATCTAGGGTCGAATTGTTGTTGCTCGAAGGCTCGTGAATTAAGAGATTATCCAAAGCCATTTTCGATGACTTCGAAGTGAATTTACCATCACTAGTTGATATTGACGTTGACTTAACTGAATCAAAAGTATCGCTACCATTACTACCTGTATTCTTGCTGAAATCAGAGTGATCAGGAAAGCCATGTACTGGACCATAAAGTGAACCAGGATTTGCTGAAAGGGGTCTATCGTTATTGTTAATTGAGAAATCCGGAAAAATTTCCGAATTTGCATCTAGTATGGATTTGATCGTCTTGTTTTTGGTGGTGGATGTGGCCCCGACTTTTGTTTTGCGGGCACGACTTTTGTTATTGGTTTTAATGGAACCATTGCGATGTAAAGTATTGTCGTCCGGATTCTTCTTGTTACGACCACGGCCTTTACTTTTGGTTTGGACGTTACTTTTCGCTTCAAAGAAGATAACTTTGTTATCAGAAATCGTAGCCTTTTCTTTCTGATTTTGGATCGAAGTATGGATATTCTTTAAATTATTGGTGTGAACATCCTCAAAACATCCGACCACATTTTCCAAATTGATGCGAGTTCCATTTATACCGTTATCGACGCGAGATAATTCAACGTGCTCAGATATCATAGTTTCACTGGTGTTTGTTGTTTCGTTTTTATGCAGCATGCCGTCACTTACGCTCGAGTGATGAATCAATTTTGTGGAATCATCGTTAAAAGCCACTTCCTCTCGATTACCATTTGCGGAGGGGTTGCCTAAAACAATCTCGTCAATACCTTCATTTTTGTATTTTGAAGTAGGTTTGGTAGAAGCTTTCTTCAACCGTGCTTTCAGAGCTGCTTTACTGATGAAACGACCATGAGCATCCCTGGCCTTGTTTCCACCTAAAGTCTTAACTTTTTTCTCAGTTCCATTTTTATTTTCAGTGGTTCTTCTAGTGTTCTTTCTTTTCTTTTCGGGAACGTCGTTGATAGGAAGAGCGTTGCTATCCACTCCAACATTGTTGTTGGTAGGATCTTGTTCGAGGTCGTTGACAATGGTAATAATGTTGGGATCGTTGCTTTTGTCTTCTGTGTTGTTAACAATAAAACTAACGGTGTTTGAATTGCCTTCAGTTTCTACGTCACTCGCCGGAGAATTACTACTCGGTCGGCTCTTGCGTCCACGAGTTCTGGTAGGTAAAATCTCGGCATCATTATGTATCTGTAAAATCTTCCTAAGATTATTATCCCTTTTTGCTTCTTTTCTCTTTTCTTTCGTCTGCTCTTCACTGACTTTTTCCTGCGGTTTAGGAATTTAAATTTCTTCGGTAAGCATTGGAATTCTAGCGAATATAATGATCCAATTAATTCCAAATTTACCATTGCTAAATGCTCAAGGTATGGAATAACTTGCCCAACAATTTTAGTATACAAGGCATCCTCTTTTTCAGATCGACTCGGATCTATCTCATTTCGGTCCCCTACAAAGTTTTTAAGATCGTCGATGGTGGTAGACACAGCCTCCCATTTTATATTCACTAAGGATGGGTCATCGCAATCCGGAATTAAAGTTTCTCGATAAATTCTGGCGCCAACTGTGTTATGACAAACGAATTATTATTGTAAAAATTGATGTTCCAATCAAGTGCACCGCACCATACTCACCGCCCAAGTAATAATATTTAGATTGTTTAGTATCCTCCCCAAGCACCTCAACCTCCAATGGTTTGATCTCGTCCTCGTTTGACCCTTGATGTTGTTGTCTGATAAGATCCTTAATTTTATTCGAGCTAACCAACTGCCAGCTGACGAGACATTGCATGATCATTACCTAGAAAATCGTCAAACGAAATGCCTTTACGCACTAAACTCCCAAGACAAACGAAATGATAAATCAATGCCACTAAATACCTTATCACGAATGCCTAATGCATAATAGTTGTCGTTTACACGCTTTAGGGGGTTGTAATCGAGATAAAAATCTTCATTGTTTTCTAGCCTTTGCGATATAATATCGGATAACAGGGTCATCCACTTATTTCTTCTATTAAAGATAAATCCCGGATTATTAAACAAAATACAGACGGACATTATCCATATACATACACATCCAATCGTGTGCAAGAGGCATGATTTAATGCTTACTCGACCAAGCGTTCTAAATTAAGCAAGTTCCTGAGGAAAAGGCGATGCAATTTTTCGATAAGAGGGTTTTCCTCGGTGCTGCATAAAGCCGCATCTAAATCCTATTTTCGTAAAAAAAAAAGTAAAAGAAGAGAGATTAATGGAGGATCAGTTTTTTTTTTTTTTTTTTGTTTCGGTAAATAATGATAACTTCGTGACATAAACCTCAGGCCAAAACCATATGTTGAGAGCTTTATTGAATTTAACACAGAAGGCAATGACAAAAGCCGTTTCCGGCATATGCTTAGGGTCCGGTTGTTCTTCGTTCATAACAGTGGGGATGTTAACGGCGTATTTCACCTCTTTGGAAATGTCGTTCGGTACTTGCACGCTGGTGGTCACCATAGTTGAGTTGCTTTGATATCCATCATGGTTAGGTCCCATGAACACTAGGTCTGCTCCCTTTGTCTCCGCCATAAAATGCGTAGTAAAAGGAGAGGCTGATAAGACAATTTGATGCATTAATAAAGTGTAATGTCAAATCACTGGGTTAATAGGATGAATATGGCTTGCGCACCTTGAATCTTATTTTCGAGGATGCTTTCGTGCAAATCAAAGTTCACCGTGGATTTAAAACTTAAAAAATGGTGCACCTGATCAAAAGGATAAGTGTGAGTCGAAAAGAAATGGTCGCGTATAAGATTTTCACGTAGTAATTTGGAATAAATTGTTGAATGACTACGGTCATTGTTACTGGGTGTTTACCTCACTCGATCATCATCATCATTGATTAATGTGGTACAAGAGATGCGAATTTTTTCCTTACCCCAGTTATTACATGTATCCCTGGTCAGTGGCACCGTAATAATAAATAATAGGGTGGAGCAAGGATATTATCAACATTTCAAGTTCAAAATCCACAAATTTCCGTAATGGTGGTAAATGTCTAGTAGAAAGATCTTTTGCTAAAAAATTTATATATTGGTTGATTCGGTGTTTTTTTATAGTAAGACGTGATCGCGATCTTCAGTTGTAGTTCAAGCTTTAATGACCATTTACTTTTTAGCTGGTATTAGTGCTTGGTGACCTTCACATTCCATACCGCGTACACGACCTTCCCCTTAAGTTCAAAAAGCTTTTGGTTGGTTGAACGGACTTCTTCGAAACTATTGTGGTCAAACCATTCAGAGTTCGTCATCAGTTAACTCATAAATCAATTTCCCTTCCCAATAGGTTCCCGGTAAAATACAGCAAATAATATGCACAGGAAATGTGTGTGATAAAGAGACATTTGATTATTTGCGCACGGTAGCGGGCGACGTTCATGTAGTGAGAGGAGACTATGACGAGGTGTGTAATGAATTGGCGAGTCTTTTATAATAATCATACCACCCCCATCACAACATTCATTCGTTATGGATAAGCGGAATTACAAGAGTAACAACCTGAATTATCTTATAAAATAAGTATACAAGTTGGCCTCTTTCGAAAATCATAAATCATGGCCCCATTCGCATTGGAGTTCTCCATGGTCACCAAATAATTCCCGTCGGGGATCCAGAATCATTATCGATTGCGGCACGACAAATGGACGTTGATATCTTATTGACTGGACACACGCACCGATTTGAAGCGTTTGAATGTGACGGAAAATTTATCGTCAATCCGGGCAGCGCCACTGGTGCCTACTCTGGATTCGTGACCGAGTTGGTGTCTCCAAATTTCATCATTTCTTTTCTTGTAAGCCTCGTCAGATATTCATGTGATCCTCTGTATTTTGTAGGGATGTTAAACCTTCGTTTGTTCTAATGGATATTCAAGGAGTTGTAGTGGTCACCTATGTTTATCAATTAATAAACGGTGAAGTGAAGGTTGATAAAATAGAGTATAGGAAGACCTATGATACAAATAGGGTGTTGTGATTCGTTTTCTTCTTTTTTTTTTTCAAAAACCTTTTCTCATTGAAAGATAATTTGGATTGTTTAGTTGAGTAAATAACTTATGCTGAAGCGCGATTGGGCGTCAGTTCAAATGTGCCGGCAAATATGTATTATATTCGGTTAACGAGATTTTTGAAAATACATTTTTCTTAGTTGCAAAAGTTACGAAGGCGAATGGGAAATTTTCAAGGATGCGACGTATTATCATCCTATTGAAAGTAGTTTGTGGTATTGCGTCTTGAATGAAATCTCCCATTTGGCGAATTACGAGAAACCGTAATGCAAATTGTTATACTGAATTATTCGTAGAAAATTGTAACTCATGCATTGTTGAAATTGATATATTTAACATTGAGGTATTCATCGATACCATATTTGGAACCTGGGTATTGAATGGTTAGGTTAGGGTGGTCACCGAAATCAAACTAAATAGACAAATTGAAAGAGTCTGCTTAATACCTTCACGTCCAAGTCCAGATTCTTTTACCTACGTCCGAACAGAGCACGAAAATTCAATAATTGATTCCGACCTTTTCCAAAGGTGACACTTAGAAGAATGAAACAAACATACCCCACCAAACGGAGCTTCACTTGTTCCGACCATTCCAGAGTTTACACCTATCATTCCTATTTCCAAAGCTTCAGCCACCCGCCAACACCTACCCACATCCCTGGAATAAAAATATCCGGCCAAGCCCACGGAACTATCGTTCGCCAACCCTATAACCTCTTCCTCAGAGTCGAATTTATACAATCCAGCAACAGGACCAAAGGTCTCCTCTTTGGTGATGGCCATTTCACCAGTCATACCCGTAAGAACGGTGGGTGTAAAAAAGTTTCCATCACTACGAACGCCGCCAACAAGGATTTCTGCCCCCTTCGCAACCGCATCTTCTACGTGTCTTGTGACTTTGTCAACCGCTTCCGAGTTGATCAATGGACCGTGCGTAGTTTTCGGATCAAATCCATTCCCTATTTGAAACTTACTTACCTTATCGGCAAGGCGTGATGCGAATTCTGCATAAATTGACGATTGCACATAGATGCGATTCGCGCAGACACATGTTTGACCGGATGCACGAAATTTGGACGCTATGGCGCCTGTAAATTAATTTTTAGTTTCACTGTAGACGTTAGCATGAAACGGATTTTCAATAATCTACTCGAACCTTCGACTGCTGCGTCTACATCCGCATCACCAAACACAATGAATGGAGCGTTTCCACCAAGTTCCAATGACATCTTTTTGAGCGTACTTGAACTTTGTTTCATCAATAATTTGCCAACCGATGTCTACCATCATTTCGCAGAGTGAGAAAACCATCAATCAATATTTACAAAGAAAAGAAAACCAAGATACCGATCCAGTAAAGGATATCTTCTTCACTTCTGGATTCGTCTAGAACATAATTTTCTTATTTAATGATGGTGCATCCGTCCATTTTTTCTAAAAATGTGCGAGATGAAGACTTTTTCTACAAATACCGTCAATTCCAATCCTATTTCTTTAACATTTGATTTTGTCGTAACGATATTGATCACGCCCTTCGGTAATCCAGCTCTTGAAGCCAGTTCTGCTAATGCTAAAGCCGAAAATGGCGTTTGAGAATCTGGTTTTATTACAGCGGTGCATCCAGCCGCCAACGCCGCGCCTAATTTACGTGAAATCATTGCGTTTGGAAAATTCCAGGGCGTTATGACTCCGACCACACCGATCGGCTGCTTTAGAACCACAAACTTGTGATTTTTCCAAGGAGATGGTATCACATCCCCGTAGACACGTCTGGCTTCTTCGGCAAACCACTCGATGAAACTTGCTCCATACTTAATCTCAACCAACGAATCTTTGATTGGTTTTCCATTCTCACGGGTGAGAATCGTAGCGAGATCGTCTTTATTATTCAACATCAAAGAATACCAAGTCATAAGTAAATCATGACGATGCTACAAAAAAAAAAAGAAAGAAAGAATTAGCAATAGTCACATGATCTAGATATGCCTTGTTTCTTGTGAACACATCACCACGAAGACACACTTTTGCGGTTTGAGTTGACCAATCTTTAAAGGCTTCTTTTGCAGCTTTAATGGCTTCTTTGGTATCTTCGGGATTCATATCAGGGACCTTTCCAACTTCTTCACTAGTCGCAGGATCTAATTCAAAATCTATAAATCAAATTCTGTCGGCAAGTTATCGATCCTCTTCCATTAATCACGTCGGTACCTAACACCGCGAATTCCTTTCCAGTTTTCGAGTTAACCCATTCGCCATTTATAAAAGCGCTTTGGCGAAATAATGACGGTTCTCTCAGCTGCATTAGAAACTTGTTTAACCATCAGCGAAATATCCAACGCACAAATAATTCATTGATCACAAACCTTTGGAATTTCCACTTTGGTGGTAAGAAGTCGACTAGTGGTAGCCATAAATTTAGCGTCAAAGACTTTACGCAGCTGAACTCTGGAGAGGGATAAGGAGAACATGATAAAAACTCGAAATTACCTCATCGGGTACGTAGATACATTACCGCATTTAGAATTTTCTACTCGAATACTTTTAGTAGGTGATTGGTTGGGTGATTGGTTGGGTGATTGGTTGCACAGATCTTCATTAGCATTCTGTCACGTCCGAAAGGGAGATTAAATAGCGGATAAAAATGTTATTTGCCGAAAAAAGGTTTTTCTTTTTTTTTTTTGAAAACGAGATAAACAAAACAAGATGGGCTCTCACGTTCACCTCAATTTAGCCAACCACGAATGGTGCGTGACAAAATCTGGTTGTCGAATTGTACGAGACATGAAGACGACAGAAGCTACCACTTATAAACACGTGGAAAACACTCGGACACCGTCGAAAACGGACGCGATAAAACCGCGTTTTAAGGAAGAGACTATGAAAGGCCAGATTCAGTCTAGCGGTATAAATTCAACAGACGTCAACGATCTCCCCAACCTATCTCGCGAGTTGAAGGAACTCATTATATTACTGTCCAAAACTGCGAGAGCTCAGCGTGCCATAAAGGTTTCAACACCTTCAGATGTTGATGGTAAATGGAATTTGTATTGTATAAATTACGTTTATCGAAACCATGCATGTCCTTTCTAACCAATTGAACATTTAAAAATTTGAGGCACGAAAAGAGAGAATGATCAGGGGACGGTGAATGAAGAGAGATATTCCGGTGATACAAGTTCCGTCACCCTTCCCCATAAAGGCGAAGTTAAAGTTGAAAGAAATTTTTCATCAACAACCATCTCGGCAAGTCGAGGGGCACAAGATCAGAAAACAGTCGAACTAACGGGTTCATCGGAAAATGCCAAATCAGCAAAGGACTATATAATAGATTCGAAGTTCATGCAGATGAACGAGATGGATTCTTATTCACAACAATCTCAAGACATGGATTGTGATAGTGATAATGAACATGACTTGGAGGAGGGTGCATCACACGGAAAAAGTAAGACCGTGTGACATATAAATATGATTAGCAGTTCTATCCCCTCATCCATTTAAATGAATTCTCATGTAGCCCTGAATAAGCAATCTCAGCACAATGCGAACGATGAAATTGTTCCGTCGCATTCACCTAAGCAAAAGTTGCACTCCGATAAAGGGCCTACGTCTAGTATCAAGGGAGTACGCTTTGCAGTGGACTTGAGACCATCACCACCATCCACACGTTCAAGCTTAGCAAACGTTAACTTGCCAGAAGCATCTTTGCTTCGTTCGAATGCATCGACTAAGAAATCCCAAAATAGTTTACGATCGTCCCACACGAATTTTACGAATTCACAACCTTCTTTACCATCATTCGTACCTGCACCTAGTCAAGTAGCTCCTCGTCCACCAGAAACATCATTTCCTTCCGGAATCGGTCAATATCATATGATGCAATCTTTACATTTCGTCCACGGCAATCCTCGCGTGTCACTGCCGGCGGCAAATCCAACTTACATATATCCCAATCAATGTTTGCCAGCACCATATAACATATATCAACAATGGACTCCCTTCACTCACAATAATAAGCGAAACTCGCATTGGGGTATCACACCAAACTATCGAAGGTACCATTGATTTGATTTTATTCACGGCTCTACAATTTATTTTCAATCACGTGTTAAAAAAAAAATCAAGATCAGGACTGAGGTAATTCAAAAGTTGACAAAATATACAAAATATTAGCACTGCTCACTTAATTCACATGATAAATATGGTCATTATAATCTTGTCACGATCTCTACTTCTTATCACAAAATAAATCGGATGACCTTCAAATCATGAATTGTTTCTATAAACTCATTTCGTGTTACAATTTTAACTATCTAGACCAGTATAAGTATTTAGTGTTGTCAAAGATAAAGATTACATTATAAAAAAGAACGCATTGATAATAAAAATGATTATGAAAAGCTTGAGTACAAAGAATTCCAATTCATTTTCCTCGGTTACACCGCATACGTTTTAATTGATACAATTCACGTAGCAAAAGTATTCTTTTTTCCTTCTTAAATAGCATTGACAAAGATGCAATATAAATGCTACGCAACATGTATATGTCTATGAAAACCCTTTTTATTTATGTTTTCCCCAATCGTGACTTGACGACGAGGCATAAGCTAAGATCCATTTGGCATTCGTCAAAGTATACTTGAGAGCTTTTGTCCACGTCTCATCCTGATTGAATTGCAATCTTATCGATGCATCACCAATTTTGTCCTTGTTGATCCTAAGTTACACAGAAAAACAATTAGCACTGCACATTTCAACCAAAGTGGAACATTCCTATATGCTAAAATATTTACCGGTACGGTAATTTGAGATTTTGGTCTTGTCTTTCGGCATAGTCTCCTAGCTGCTGCAAGCAGTTCAGGAAGCACACCATGGATTGATCAAAATGCCGATTCGAAAATAACCTTCCTAACGTTAGTTCTCCTGAACCGTATCTGGTGCATGCAACATTACTTCGGTTAACGAGATGCGATGTGGTAAATGGAAGGTTGTGATGACTTACAGTCCGTAAGACGCATTTTTCTCGTCGACCTTTTCAATCCTTGAAAATGACCCCAAGGGGACTAATCGATACCTAAACATCAATTTTGTCAACATCGCAGTCAAAAAAAAAAAAAAAAAAAAAAAATTCCAGAAAACAGGAATCATTATCGTATTTACGTTTTGAATGTGAAATTAAGCTTATTGGCAATGGTTGCTAGTAATAAGAGTGTTTGTCCCCAGGCAGCATTGATCTCACTCCATTCAACCTGTTAGATGAAGGTTTAATCTTGTTATCTTCATTCGTTCCAGCGTTGTCAAGGAAGAAATGATTATACTCACCATTTGGTTCGGTAAACGACCCAGCCTAAAACCATTGATCGTACCGAAATGACCATCATGCCCGATGCAGAATGTGTCATTGTATACATTGGTCTTTTGAAGTTTTTCTAGTTGTCGGGCGTCGTGATCGTATTTCAAGTTGACACTATCTCTTTCATTTTGAAAGGACTGGAGTTGGATGTGAAAATCATTGAATTCCTGCCAATAGCTAAATGAAAATTTATTATTCACGCCCATAACATGAATGACTCATTTAAATGTGACAACCCAACGAGCGTCACCTTTCTTCAAGTTTGTCAAGCTCTTCTGCCTCCTTTTCCAATGCGGCCAACTCCTTTTTCATCTCATCACGTTCACGCTCAATTTCTTCCAACTGTCGAATAGCAGCAAGTTCGCTGGACCGAATCTTTTTTTTATACAGACCGCATAATTAATCAAGGATCCAAGTAATAGCCGAGAATCAAAATAAAAAAACTTGCCTCTTCAATGCCTTTCCGCAACTCCTCCTGTTCCTCGTCACTTATTATGCTAACGTTAACCTTTTTAAGGAAATCTATGTAGCAATCTCGCTCTCGAGAAGCATCTGCCAATTGCTTTCCCAAACTGTCAAGAAGCATATCTGTACATTCTTGACACATGGGGTGATCTATCTCTGACTTGGATGACATGAGATCAAAGAGACGGTTTGCGACTTTGAGTCGATGGCTAATACTAGCCCTCTGTCTGTCATCCATGTTCATATCTATGTTATCACGTTCTGATGATGACTGAGCGTTTGACGGAGGATACACTTGCGACCGTGACAACACCACATATGATTCTGATGGTGCCAAGAATGATTCTTTTTTTCCGTTCATTCCATTAGATCGATAAATTCCAAGATCCTTTGATGCTAAATGCTTGCTTGCTATTGAATTTCCATTTTGTTCGATGTCCTTAAAGGCAGCTCGTATCGAACTTCTTTTCAATGAACCTCTTTCAGGTCTTCGTTCGTCTATGGCTGTTTCGGAGAAACGTGTGTATTCTTGAAGTGGTGCTAAAGGACAAGATCAATGAGAGTATGAATGGAATGAAAGAGAACCAGTTGTGCGGACTGAATATCTACAAACCAACTAAAAGATCTATTGAAGTTGTGTTAAGATCAGAGAAAGACTCGTCTATCCTTAAGGGATGTTTACAACGTTGACATGTAAACGTTTTCGTTTGTTCCATGATGAAATAAACTTTGTGAGTATAACATTTCCATTGTTTCTTAATGTTCGCTTTGGACCAATCAAGTATTTTTCGGGAATATAGCGTGTCAAGTACTAGTTATCATTATTTTACTATAGCAAACTTAATTATGGCTTATAATTATCTATAATATTACAAATTTTTCACATAATAATTAACTTGTCATTGTATGTATCAAAGTACTTTAAATCAAGTTTAGAAAACAATATTTCACTTCTCTAGAGGATGAGTATAAATTTCTATCCTCTAGGTTCATTACCAACAGTTTGTTATTATAGATTGTCCAAAAATCATGAATTGTTAAGTTAATAAAGAAAAAAAAAGAAAGAGATACAATTCAAGTTTCAAAAAAATCCATCAATTGAATAACCTTCTCTCAAAAGGGATTTGTTTAATTAAAATATTTTTTTTTACTTTTACTTGAATTTTAAAAGAAATCATTTTTATCATCACTTATAGTATTAAACAAGTCAATTCAATTGAATCTATTATTATTATTTTTTTTATTTTTTTTTTTATTTTATTTATTATTATTATTATTATTATTTTTTTTTTACCTGCAATCAGGTCAATATGACATATCTTTATTGTATATACTGTATATATATAAAGATATTTATATAATATTTTGACTTTCATATATTAATTTATCTATTATTAAAAAACTGGTTTTCTAGATACAACTTAAGAAATAATATTTTGCTCCTTTACTAACTTGAATGAATCCTTTAGTCAATAAAATTATTGCCTATAGATTATTACTATAGATTATTCTAAATTCTATTTGCAATTAAAAACTGAATCATGATTTTTTTCCTTCTTTTTTTTAAATGCTTCTTACTTCAGGTCTTCTAAGAATATCATGAGTTCTTTTTGCTCTCATGTAGTCTATATATTTGATTTATGTCCAAGTCTTTTAGATCTTTTATCTTCTTCAGTAATATTTTACTTCTTTTTCCACTCTATTTATTTTAGTATAGTAATTATTCCAGATATTCTTCTTGAAATTTTTCTTATTTTATGACAAAGCTTACCAGTTATGCACTTTATGAATATTGAGAGAATTTTGAGTTATATTTTGAGATAATTCTTTAAGAAAATAGTTTTGTTTACTTCGATATATTCATAGATAGTATTGAAAAGATTTCTAATAATGATATTGTCAAATTACTAGATCTTGTTTAGCTATCTACTTGTTCAATTATTAGTTGCAGAATAAATTTCTTTTTTATCTTTGATTTCTTTACTAATATAGTAATTGATTTTTTCTTTTACTTTCTACTATATATTTTCTCTGGTTTCTTTGATAGCTAAATACTTATAAAGGTATTTTAATATTTCTTTTTGAAGTTCATATACTGGACAAGGTATTATGGTATAAATATTTGATTTTCTTTTTTTGAATATCTACAAAATTTAAAATTTATTATATATTAAGTTAGTTGAAAAGCTTTTATCTTTATTAGCTTTGAAAAAAGCATCAAAGGTATTGAATAAATTGAATCAATTTTATAAAATTAACTAATTTATAATTTTGTTATTTTGAATTCACAACTCTTGAATTCTTTTTTGTATAATCCATTCTTTTTCAATTCTTTTTCTATTAAATGTTTTAATATATTCTCTAATACTAATTTTTATTATACTGTATATTTACTTTATATAGCTATTGCAAGAACCTTCCCTAATTTTGATAGTTGATATTAAATTATCAGATTCTTACATTTAATTTATTTAATAAATAAATCTATTTGATTATTGAACTTGTTAATTTCATAAATCTTAATCTTTGTAATTTCCAAGATAAAATTTTTTTTTATTGATTTTTGATTTTATTCCATATTGATCAGTTAATAATCTTTATCTATTTTTTTGTTGGTATTTTTATTTATAAACAGATAAACTTTTATGTCTTAACTACAATATTATAATTAGTGAAAATTAAAACTATTATATTTTAAGAAGCTATATATAATGCAGTAAGAATAACCAATATTTTTGTATTAATTGTTAATAATCATATCAATATCTCTATTGAAAATTGTTTTTTAACTTTGTTATTCTCTATTAGAATCCAAAAAAAATCTATTTCAAGTTTACTATCTTTTGTTTATTTTTTATAGAAGCCATCTATATAAAAAGTGAACTAATTAGTCATACTTTTATTATATTTCAGGATATTTATAAGTTCATCTATATATTTTTCTGATTGAATAACTTGTTTTATTAGTATAATTTTTAGTTTTTTACATAGATTTTTATTTCTATAGGTTTGGAGATTGGTGAAATTAATATCTGTTACCTTGTAATTTTTATGAAGTTACCTGGTAGGAAAACTTGTTTTTTTTTTCTCAGATTTTTGTATTTATTAAATTGTGAAAGAAGTTAGATTTGTGATAAAACTACTTCTAATATTTGAGATAATCTATTTGATTAAAGCAGAATATATAGAGTAAACTGAATTTTGTTATTTGAGACTAATATCTTTTTAATAAGTTAGTTGAAAAGTTAAAATAGCTACTCAATATATTTTTTTTTTATCTAAATATGTTAGGAATGTTTTGATTTATATATTATAACCTATCTAATCTAATTTATGTAATGACTTTCTTAAAAAGTCTTGTTTTTCAAATAATTTAAAAAATATATATTTTAATAAAATCTTTTTTTTATTTAAAAGAAATTTAAAAATATAGATCTTTGAAAAAAACTGAAAATTATTTTATTTTATTTTTTGATATATGTAATTTTCTATTATTTTAGGATTTAGTTAAATAGAAAAGAATCAGTTCTTTATATTCGCTAAAGAGAATCTTAATTGCTTATTATTCCTTAAGTATTATTGTAGTTGTATTAATAATTTAATCTTAAAATATAATCTTATACTTATATAATAATAAAATAACTTTCTTTATTCTTTATTATTTTATAATATTGACTAGTGTTCACAATTTTGATTCAAATCTGATTGATCCGTGAATCGGATATGAATCAAATCAAATCAAATTTCAAAATTTTTAATCCGATCGGATTCAAATTGAATCGAATTTTAAATTTACAAAATTTATCGGATTCAAATCAGATTTGGATTAAACCTGATATAATTCAAATTGATATGTACCAGTTCACATAAATTGTTATATAATTATTAAATTTTATTTAAATTGAACTATCTAGAAAATTAAATTGAATTATCTTGGAAATTAAAATTGAACTATCTAGGAAATTAAAATTGAACTATCTAGAAAATTAAAATTGAACTATCTAGGAAATTAAAATAGTTTTTTTTTTTTGAAAAAATAATATAAAAGGCAAGTTAAAAAAAATTCAATACTTGTTCTTTTTGATGATTTTTTAATCATTTCTTTTCAATATTATAGTTTTATTACTTAATTACTTTCATCGTATCCTTTGCTTTTGCTTAATTTATTTTTTTTAAAAATGGAATATGAAAACTCATTTGATAACACACAGTTTGAATACAATAAAAGTAATAGTTTAACTAACTATGCCAATATTGATATTGAAAATATTAACATAAGCAATCTATCGGAATCAGCCTCAATTATCTCAATAATTTCTAGAAGTAAAGTATGGAAACACTTTATAAGGAGTGCAAGTTTTAAAGAGAACAAAAAGATTATCTGTAAATATTGTAGGATAATATATACTAATAGTAGAGGTAATATTTCTAATCTAATAAAACATCTTGAAAAAACTCATCTGACAAAATTAAATATAATAACTGGTAACACTGAAATTGCCAATTTTTTTAAAATGAAGGTAATTTCAAATAATTTTTAAATTTTTTAAAAAAACACTATTAATTTTTTGTATTTATATATAGTGAACATATAATTTGATAAAAATGAAAAAAACTTGTTCAATGAATTGTTATTAATCAGTAACCTTTTACAGTTGTCCAAGAACCAGCTTTCCTTACTTTCATACAAACATTAGCACCAAATACAAAAATACCATCGACTACTTCTATTAAGACCTGTATAATAAATTTTTATTAAAATGGTCAAGAAAAAATTCAAAAGATATTACAAGAAATAGAAAGCTGTATTTTATTTATACTTGATATTTGGATATTAGTTTCAATGAAAGCATTTTTAGATATAACTACATATTTTATCATTAAATATTGAAGAATACAAAGTATAATAATAAATTTTATACAACTGTGGGGTATCCATTTAAGCAAAAGTATTAAAGAAGCATTTTTATTATGTTTAAAGAAATTTATGATTTAAATAAAGGTAAATTTATTTATATATTTAAAATAAATATAATATAAGGTAAATCAATTTATTTAATTTTAAAGATTCTGGAAATTACAATCAATAATACTATAAATAATATTGTATTCACTAAATTGATAAAAAAGTAAAGTAAAACTCAAGCAATATTTTTTAATACAACAGAAAACCATTTACGATATTTTGTGCATATTATTAATTTAAGTGTATAAGAAGCTTTAAATATATTAAGAGAAAATCTAAAACAGGTAAGCTTATTTATTTATTTTTTTTTTTTAACCCGCAGTCAGATCAGCATGGCGTGTCTTTATTGTATATATGCTAGGTATTTACAAATTTTGTGACTTTCACATACTGACTCACTCGTC